CTGTTCTGTCACCAAACCCCCTGTGACAGGGGAGATAGCTGCAGCACGACAGCCCCTTCTCCATCAGACCTTGCAGGAAAAACAGAAAACGGATCCCACCACACAGGTAGGCAGATCCGTCTCCTTCTCAATGCATCAACGCTGAAAGCCCAAACACGTAGCTTTGCAGCAAGATGGATGGTCTGTGCGACCTCAGCGAACAGACCAAGGAGGAACAGTTTACTCATTTTAACCTCTCTCCTATAAAGTAAAATAATCATCAAATTTCTACAAATGGCTCATCAGGCTACAAAAGGAGTGAACATTGGCCTTCTCATTGTTACAGAGGAAGTTGAAAGCAAGCAGGAGTTGCTGGTAAAAGAAATTGCGGATGTCGCTGTTGCCCTGGAGGAGCACATCATTATGTACAACCTCAAAGATGTTGCTAATACCTTTGCAATAGCATAGACTATCCCAAATAAGTATACATTTGCTTATACAAAAACCTTTCATGAACATCAGTTGCCGCAATTGTTCAGCCAAAGTTCAAGGAAACTAGATGCTTCAAGGAAAGTGCAGTGACAACTTGGCCAAGTTAATGGCAGCTATCACTGTTCTGTTTGTCTGCTTTGAACTTGTTTATACACTAAAACTACATCACACTCAATCTCACAAACCAAACATACCGCCATGCCCACATACACATCAAATCGTTAAATACTCAGCACAAGGCCTATTCTGACAAGACAAGGGCCTGTAAAACTCACACAAAAAATTAATACGATGTCAAAATATTATGAACAAGGTTGTATTATGTTTTGTTCGGTAAATAGTCTATATAATCTGCAATTTAACTACAGCACTTCAAGTTAGTTCAAAATTTCTGCTTATAGTCTAGTGTTTTTGTAGCACATTACATAAGGTTGGACCTCGTCTTTTATCAGGCAGCAAAAACTCAATTAATTGTGGGGTTTACCTATTTAAATATTACACTGAGTGTGTTTTTACATTTATGTAGACTATGTAGACTATGTAGACTATGGCTAAAACTTCAAAAATATAACTGGTAATATTTGGAATTTAATTGACTGGCCAATAGGCCATGAAATTATGTTACACTTCTGCATTATAGATATCATAGACAACTTGAACTTGAAGTTCAAGCTTCCCATCCTTCAATTGTTAACTGGGATATATTTCCACATATTTGATGTTACCAAAAATGTTTTGTTTTCAAATGTTAATTACAAAGACAGTGAGAGGCCCATTAACTGGCAGAGGGGTGGCGCTGCAAATTAAATCATGAGAACAAATGAAAACGCATCACAACAGCATCAGACTTTACTAAACAACTGTAGCTGGAAATGGCAATGGAAGACATCTCCACATAAAAAACACGCAATGCAACAAAATAAATATTATTCAACATATAGCTGAGCGACGGCAGGGAAGACTGCTCCTTCTCCTTCTCCTGGTAATCCTTGCTTTGGCACTATCCACTCACCATATACCAAGCAGGCTGTGTGATCCTGTGGTGAAGAAAGGTCTACCTGTGGAATGAAGACCCGCCTACTTCCTGGTTTCTGTGGAGCTCTGTCAGGCTGACTTCAGTCCACCCATTGGTCCCCTCTGTTCCAGGTCTAACAATCGCTCGTCACCACCTCAGCATTACCTCCTGCTCTTAAGGAGAGCCCTCCAGTAGCTCTTGGCAGCTTGTCACAGCCAGTTGACTTGTGTGCCTCATGTGTGTTGATTGTGTGCCATATTAGTGAAGTAAGTACTTTGTTAGTTAGCCTCTGCAGTTGTGTTTAGTGGAGTGATTCACTTGAGTTTGTCATTGCCACAGTACCTTTTGAGTGTTTGATTTTTATGTGCATTTACCAGCGTGTGGCTGGTAAGAAAACCTGCAATGCAATGTACATATAGAAGAAGCCTCCGCGTTGTTCAAAAGAATTTACTGAACAAAAAAGAGCTACTGATTATTGCATTATATTTATTTTTATATTGTGAAGTGCACCTGCAACCTGAATTTTGTGCTTTCCTTTACTGGTTTAAGCGGGATCTGAACGACTGAAGGTGAAAACAAACTACAACCTTTATGCTGGTTTGATTATTATGGAAGATTTATTTGGACTTTAATATTTGTAACCCACAGAAGACAAGCTACAAATGTGTACAATGATGCGCAATTGTGTAATTTTACACTGGTGATGTGTAAAATCATATCCACAAAAATACAGTGTGATTTGCAAATACACACAATTTAATCTGTACAAAGATCTTTTTATTTCACATGCCAATTTGTAGGTCACGTAGCATTTGTAACTTCCTTTTTACACATTTGTGGAATTTTGGTCCAGCTGCAGCCCACAGACAAATGTGACGGAAGTTGATGGAAGTTGAACTTCCATATATGGTTTGTCCCAGAAGCCACCACGCACAAAACGTGACGGGGTGACCCCCCCCACCACCCCGCTGTCATTCTGTGGGAAACACTGGAAAGTAATATAGTAACATAACTAGTTACTTTTATCACCCAGTAATAAGTGAAGTAATAATATTAATTTTTTAAGGAGTAATAAGTAACTGGTAATATATTACAATTTCTGAGTAACTTTCCCAACACTGGATGTCACTGCACTATGTTTCTGTTGTATGATTACGGGATTGACATGAAGAGGATTTCCTACAATAAATCACTGAGCATTTCCCTTTCTGTTTCCCCATTTTCTCAGCAGCACCTTGGCCCCCTCCTCTCCGAGCTGCTACTGGACTGCCAGCCTGCAGCACTGCTTTCTGAGCTACTTCTGCTGGCCCACTGGACACTACTACATCCAAACTTTTCTGTACAAGTGTACATATTTTATTGCTCTGACTACAATATCGTGAATCCAGATTCAACTGAAGGTACAAATATCAACACAGGCTATTTTCATTATAATTATTTTGTTTATTTAACATTGTTTTACATCATTATTCAATACACTAGAGGTAAATATAAGTGTAGGTCAGTATGCAGTTCAAATCTGACTGAAGTTATAGGGTTAATGTGTCATGTACATATTATTCACTTTCACGTATTTATTTTGTTTACCAGGTCCATAAAGAGAAGTGCTTCATCAACAATTACAATTCTAATATGTTGGATTTAATTCCCTGTTGAATGTACTTCTGTATTTATACTTCTGTATATTTTTATTGCAATTATTTAGTTATTCTGTAGGTGTGATGGCATAGGTCTATATATGTGTCTTTTCATGTCAGCATGGAGTTCTGCAGGGTGGTTTGTTGTCTCCAGTCTTTTTAAACTGGCAGTTAAATGTTTGTAACTAAAGTAGCATTTTTGGTAATGTCATTAATCTTTGTTTTATTTTGTCCCTGCAGTTCTGGGCTTCATCACTGAGTATGTTCACCATACTGTGCGTGCACTGAACTCATCTCTGCAGCTCACTTCATCTGCTGTTATCGAGACATAATCTATCTAGATGAGTAGCCTATATATTGGGACAAACTGACACAATGTTTTGACACAAGAATAAATAATTTGATGTATTATAGTTAATGCCGAATCTTTAAGCAGAGCATGAAGTTTGTTGTAGACAGTGTTACACAAAGTTTTCCAACGAAAGTTAAAGTCCAAGGGACTTCTTCAGTTCTGACTGACTGGTAGGGAAACTCAGCTATTTAACCTCAGTGGGGTCGTTTGCCAACATCGTCCATACTGCTGGTTCGGTAGTGTTCCTGGTTGTTGTAACGACAGTCGTTACGGTCGTTAGGACTACCCGTAGCCATGAACGACCATCGTTGTTAATAAATATTCTCCCAACTCACAAAACTGCAAAAAAAATTAATGAATGAAAATTTTACATATTTACTGCCAAGAAAATGCTGTCTTCTTTCATGAATTTGACCCTGCTCTGAATGCCTGCTACTTACTAACCCCAAACACCTGTTTTCCTAAAAAGCACACATACTTATAGATAAAAACTAAAGTATATATAATTTAGATATAAACATAAGCCTACATGGTCAGATTAGTGTTTTAGAGGCAATGCATCCCTCATGAAAAAAAATCACAACCATGGACAGCTACAGGAGGGGATCGAGAGAAAGAGTTTCTTTACTTAGTGCACCCAGTGTTCTGAAATTATCATTTCTTCACAAAGCCAACATCATACTTCCACACAAATGAGGAGAAACATCCCTAGTTATCAGGCTAAATTGTGGGTTAATTGTGTCTAAAATTCAAATAAAATAAAAGTGTCCATTAGGTGGGCTGGTGTGTTTTTTGTTTTGAATATCTTACTTAGTGGTAACATGATATTGCATATAACTTCAATGAAGAGCTGGAACGAGCTGATACACAATATATATGATATATATATGTCAGACACAACTTCAAAGTCATTAAGGTGGAATCTGAGGGTAAAATTAGGGTTTGTGCTGAATAATAACTATTGACAACTAGACGATTTCATTGATTTCAATTTCAGAAGTCTTAGAAACATATTGTCCAAACTACAGCCTAAACTGAGACACGTGACTGCAGTGTCATGTGTGAATGTGTTTTTGTGAAGGAAGCGCCATCTCATAGTGTCACTCTTCACTTAAATGAACAGCTGTGTTTACAGTAGAATGTAGTTGTCAGACTGCTTTATCACATCTAATAAATTAAATATTACTAATGTGCTTTTTTATCTTAAACTGAAAAGAAGTCGTCTACAGGAGCTTTAACAAAAAATGTGACCGTGTATTATAATATATTATATTATATATATAAATATAGGACATAAACACTCAGTGGGAACATGTAAATAATTATATGAGATAATCTGTAGTCATTTCACCAAGTTTCTTTTAAATTGTGTGCTATAAGTTGAAATTTACAAAATACTGCCTGACATTTGAAAGTCCGAGGTGCACCCACTGTTCCACTGGTTTTGTTGGTACAGATCTCTTTATTGATGTGGAGGAAAACCATAGGAGAAAGAGATTTAGGGTTATTTAAGAATTAAGGCTGCTTTATGGCATTTTACACCCATTTATAACCAATGTGACCATCTGTAAAATAAATCACTAAAGTGACTAATAACAATATGTACATTATAATGTCACTGAACAGTCGTTCCCAGTTTGACTTCAGAATAAACGGTTTCATCCGCTGCTGCAGGACTTGAGTTTCCTGTAAAAGGAGTCGTACCAGTTTGAAATGTCAATGTACTGATATATGTTTCTATACAGTTTTTTGCTTCAGCAATGCCTACATCCATAATGTAAAATAAATGTAGTGTACAAAAACAAAACACAAGAGAAAACATGTTACAATAGTACTCACAACAAAGATAGTTGAACACTGATAGTTGATAGAAAATCAAGGAAGGATTTAAGAATACGTAAAATAAATAACTAAATACAAAAATTATACAGAAAACAGAAAACATTTAAATTACGTCAAATCAGTAACAGCTACCATTGTATTGAAACATATTTGTGTTGGATGGACACAGAACTCACTGTGTCCAAGACAAACCTGTTGGACAGTAACAGCTGCAGGTGGATGTAAGCTTTACTTACCTTTGTCTTTCTTGGCTTTATCATAGGAGTGAACCTCTGCATACATCAGATTGTCTAAAACAGAAGCCACGTTTCAGGTTTAATTTGTACAGTAGTTATGAACTGATGGAAAAATTAAGATAAAAGGACTATGTCACGACCTGATGTTCATTCCATGACCTCATAACCTCAGATGTGTTCTGTTTGTTTTTTGAGTAAATCTTTTGTTTCCCGTCTTTGAGAATTTGGTCTGGGATAAGAACCATTGATGCTGTGTGCCTGTAAAGCCCACTGAGACATTGTACGTGATGCAGAGCGATACAAATAAACTATGCTTAAAGGAGTGGTTCATACCTTTTTTGAGATGTGTCTTAAAACAATAGTCACACGCCCATATGAACAGTAAACTGCTATAATCATCCCCCGTGGTCATGCTGGCCCTGATAACATCCCTTCCTTATTTGCTTTTAGTGGAAGTGATGGGGGACAAAATCCCCTAATAATAAATACATTTTTGCAAGAAGGAGGGAAGTGGATTACGTAGACAGACAATTTTTTTTAAATACAACTATCTATGGTGGAACCAACTCATTTGTCACCTATTAATTCTTTTTCAACAACGTGAGAGATTACATATCATATTTATTTAATCAAACATATACTATATGGACAAAAGTACCAGACACCCCTGTCCCAATACTTTTGGTAGGGATTGTTTTTTCATGGTGTGGTCTTTCTTACAATTTTCACAAACAGTTTGTTTTTTGTCTTTTCCTCTTTCAATATGGCAATGCCCCCGTGCACAAAGCCAGCTCCATAAAGAAATGGTTTTCCCCGTTTGGTGTGGAAGAACTTGACTGGCCCGCTCAGAGCACCTGACCTCTACCCTATCCAGCACTTTAGGGATAAACTAGAGCGGAGACTGCGAGCCAGGCCGTCGTGTCCAACATCAGTGTCTGACCTCACAAATGCTCTTCTGGATGAACAGGCAACAATTCCCACAGATAAACTCTAAAATCTTGTACAAAGCCTTCATAGAAGAGTGGAAGGTGTTATAGCTGCAAAGGGAGGACCATCTCTGTATTAATTCCTATGGAGTTAGAATGGGATGTTATAAATGTAATGTTTAGGTGTCCTAGTACTTTTTTCCATATAGAGTATCTGAAAATCAACATACCGCAAATCCAACAAGCCCTAAAGGTTCAGTGTGTAATATTTAAGAGGATCTATTGACAGAAAAGCAAAATAATATAATATAATGAATGGTTATGTTTTTATTACCTTAGAATCAGTGATTGAAGTGGGAAAAAATTCTGAGTAGAGAATCCCAGAACCTCACAACGTGTGTGATATTAACGCACACGAAGTCGAAATTAAAACTTCACAACTCAGGAAATGGGACCATCTGAGGAACACGTGAATGCCGCTGGTTGCAATTTGCACCCCTCACCACAAGATGCCACTAAATCACTGACCCTTTAAAGCTCTTATATATACAGTACATGGGGTTATAATATGACCACTGCTGCTCTTTAGTGGAAGTATTAAAATATTACACTGTGTCAGGTAGCAGCACCCAACAAAAACTTCAAAATGTCTGTTGTACTTGTCTACCTGCTGCTGATCCTGTCTTGCCATTTGAATAAACAGGGCTCACCTCTGGTGTATTACCAGATGGATGCATGAAAAGACAATTTACTGGGCTTAATTTAGGCAATGCTGTATACAAAAGCCATCTCACCTAATTGCTTGTAATTCTCACGACATAAAATAAACTACTCACCCTTCTTAGCAATGTTTTTCAGCTCAATCAAAGCATATGTGACCTCGCTGAATTCCTCTGAAATATACATATTGTTTAAAATTCAGGGGTTTTCCATCATTTCTATTTACCTTATATCATCTTATTCTAGTATTTCTAACTGCTCCGTGTTAAACAAAAAGTATATACTGTACCATTTTCAATTTCTTCAGGGCCTTTGATTGATTCATAGAGACGAGCATCATCTAAAGAGCAGAGAAAATAAAGCTAATGTCATATTAATCAGTGTTTCAATTACATTATATGAATTCCGTAATCTTCTAAAACAGATAACGTGAAATGTAAACATTAAGTTTAATGTAAGTGATTAGTTATAAAGGATTAAGGCTGACCATGGAGAGGAGAAGAGTATTTTTTGTGTTGAGTTTCATCCTGGTTGATCATGTGATCTGTAGCAGAGCCCTGATTGGTGCTCTGAGACCTGCTGGACCCCAAAACACAAAGTAAATACAGCAGATTTGATAAGGAACATGTGATGTACTGCTGTTGGATTCAGACGCAGAGGAGAGAGCGTTGTACCAACCTGATAAAGCATGAATCTGTAAAAAAAAAAAAAAAACAGACATTTGCTGTTACATGGTTTTATTACAGTGCAGGTAATGACATCAGACTACATCTGTGAGTTTGACTAATCAGTGTGAAATCAATCTAATATCAGAAGGAGAAGAACTGACCTTTTGACTTTCTGCAGCGATGCAGAAACAGCAGCAGGAGAATAATCAGTAAAACTCCACAAACCAGCCCAACAATCAACAACACAGGAAATGGAGAGCTTTCAGGCGCTGCCATGATAAATAATCTATATTAATATTAATTATATGACACTTTTCTTAAATACATTTACAAAAACAGAGTTATGGTCTCATCAAGCCTCACAAATGGTGACTTTCACCCTGGCCAGAGAAGAACAATAGAAAAATATATATAACAAACAAAATATATCACATACACACAAATGCAAATACACTTACACAGTAAATAAATGTATAAGATCAAATACACTTAAATAAACCCCTGATCATGTATCATTTATGTCTAGATATCACAGTATCACAATAAATCATCCTCCTGTTGCTTGATGAAACGTTTCTTCAGCTCAAAATAAATACTACTTTGTAATATAAACTAACACACCTTTCACTGCTAATCACATATTTACTTTTGTATTTTTATGTTTCATTATTGAATAACCAATGTAGAAAACATCTCTTACACAAACTAATAGGTTAAGTCTGCTGAAACAAGGCCAACTTACTTTTACTTTACTTTTTTACACTTACCTGTGATACAACTTACAAGAAAATTCTGTTTTAATCACACTCACATTTTACTGACATCCAACTCTCTGGTGATGATCGACTCAGCTGACCTTGTGACTCTCTTCCTTCACATTTATAAAAGCCTTCATCTGACTTTGACACTGCAGGGAGAGTCAGCTCCTTTCTGGTTTTATTTTGGATGAGTTTTCCATTTTTATAGAAATCTACATTAGAAAGAACATTTTCTGTCTTTAACTTGCAGCTCAGAGTAACAGACTCTCCCTCAGCCACAGGATGGACAGGGCTCACCAGGATCAAATCACTGCCTGTAAAAAGATCAAGGAATATGTGATCAGCTGGTGAAGGTTGAACAAGTTGATGTACAAAGATAAAAATGAATTAAATATTTTTAAACAAATGTTATAGATGCGTACAGTCGCTGAACAAATACCTGACATTTGGCTTGTGTGTTTGAAACTTTAACACGTCTTAATGTAAATATTCTTTTTGTTGAGAAATATTGTGAGCCAGGTTCAGGTGTGAAGAAGTTTCGGAGACTGATGAAGACTTAACATTGCTTGGTTTATTGAGCCCAACCGAGGAGATACAGTGCCAGCATACAACATGTGAACACGTCAAATGCCAACACCAAATCTGAAGGATAACATCTTGTGGTCCCTTTTATGTTTCTGTCTTCCCCCTAGTGCCTGTAGGTTTCTCTATTAGGTCACCTTACACCCAGAACTATCTATCTGATGTTTAGACTCCAATGCTGCGTCATATTGGAATCTCTCACTATCCATGAGTTAAACTCTAATCTGTGGAGCCAGTAAGTTCTTGTAAACATTCTTGCAGGATTCAACCTTCCCAGAGAACACTGATATCTGCTAGCCTGATGCCTGAGCTACTGTCTCTAACTAATCAGTCTATTGTTGTCTCCCTGACAAGGACAAGTACATGTGAGAAATACCTAAAGCTAGAATGTCAGAAAACACTTATGGGGTCAGCTAAATTATTCTAAGCTATACCTGATATACCTTTCCCTGTTACATCAACAAAGCCTCTTAAGAAATATTCTCAGAAACAGAATCAGAAGAAGCTTTATTGCCAAGTAGTGTTTTACACATACGAGGAATTTGCTGTGGTGATAAGGTGCTACACGTAGACAAACATACAGTCAACATAAATAAATGTGGAAATATATAAATATGGAATAGAAGAACGTTGCATTATTCTGGGTCTGTGCCGTGCAGAAGTAACGTAACGGAAGAGAATATTGTGTACATATAAATATATAAACTGACAACATAAAAATATACAACAACAAAGATCAACAATCAACAACAAATATGTGCGACGTGCCGGGTCTGTGCCCGACACAAGATGAAATAGTATTTACATGTGCAGAGACATTTGGGGGAGTGTCAGTGGGGGACCTGGGCCTTGTAAATGAGGCTAGTTGCAGAGGCGAGAGGTTTTGGTCCCGCAGCCTCCTGCCAGAGGGGAGGGTCTGAAACAGTTTGTAAATGCTCCGTATTTGTATAGCGCCTTTCTAGTCTTTTCGACCACTCAAAGCGCTTTTACACTACATCTGCATTCACCAGTCACACACATTCATACACTGAGCCTAAGTGCTCAAACGGAAACTAACATTCACACTCATTCATACACTGGCGGAACAGCCACTTCGACACGGAACCAGGGGGGAGCCAGGGATTGAACCGCCGACCTTCCGATTAACGGCCAACCCGCTCTAACTCCTGAGCCACAGCCACAGACCCCGACCCCGACCCCGACCCCACCCTGTGTCCGGGGTGGGAGGAGTCAGCTACAATCTTTCCTGCTCGCCTCAGAGTCCTCGAGGCGTACAGGTCCAGAAGAGAAGGAAGCTTGCAGCCAATCACCTTCTCTGCAGAGCGAATGATGCGCTGCAGCCTGCTCTTGTCCCTGGCAGTGGCAGCAGCGTACCAGATGGTGAAGGAGGAGGTGAGGACGGACTCAATGATGGCGGTGTAGAAGTGCACCAACATTGTCTTTGGCGGGCTGAACTTCTTCAGCTGCTGCAGGAAGTACATCCACTTCTAGGCCTTCTTGGTGAGGGAGGTGATGTTAAAAGCAGAGCGGAAATCCACAAACAGGATCCTGGGGAGTCCAGGTGCTGGAGGATGTAGTGAAGGGCCATGTTTACTGCATCATCTACAGACCTGTTGGCTCTGTAGTTGAACTGCAGGGGGTCCAGGAGTGGGTCTGTGATGAATTTTAGGTGGAACAACACAAGGCGTTCAAAGGACTTCATAACCACAGAGGTCAGGGCGACGGATCTGTAGTCGTTTAGTCCAGTGGTCCTTGGTTTCTTGGGGACAGGGATGATGGTGGAGGCTTTGAAGCAGGCTGGCACATGGCATGACTCTGACCCCCTCCAGACAGAAGTGGCGTCGTTTGCAGAGAACTTCTTTAGTCTCTCTGCATACAGTCGTTTAGCTTCTCGCACCTCCTTGCTAAACCTGTACTTTAACACCCTGCACCACTTTTTATCTTTCTGTCATGTTTACAGTGTGTACAAAGGTTGTAGTTTGTATCACCTTCACTTGTACAGCTCCCCCCTGAGGGAAAACTGTTCATTTTGATTGCAGGTTTAGCTGAGCAGCCAACCTTCATCATGTGTCACTATTTATATGGCACCTTGGTGGTGCACATGGGTAAATTTGAATGGTGAATGGGTTTACACATTAAGAACTATTATATTTGTTGTCAGCTAATGTGAACTTTGTGTTAGTGTGCTTGTTAGAAGAAATGTCAAGTTTAACTCTTTTTGAAATTAAAAAATCTGACAGGCAACAGAAATGAGTAATGCCACCATTCCTTTAAAAAGAATACACTATTCAATACTACTGATAATAGTCAAAACATAGACTGGATATAGTTTTATTTACAGGATGTTAAATAAATCAGTTTGGTCAACTTCAAATTTCTGATTGATTTAATGGAGTATTAAAATCATTCATGTTCAATAAAATGCAATGAAAACTCACCCTGCCCAGTGATGTTGACTGCATTGCTGAACTGTCCTGTTTCAGACTCACACCAGACCACTCCATCAATGTACTGTGATTTATTGGTGTTGCATGTGGATCCAGTCATTGTCCCCCAGGAAGAACAGTGTGGCAGGTGGCCAGATTTAGAAAACCTCCTCACTCTCCACTTAGTAGAGTTTCCTTCACAGCTCAGTGACACGGACTCTTCGGTGAAGTGCTGCACTCTGTCAGGACTCACTGTGAGAGACGCTGCTGGATGAAAATCTGAAAAACAAAAACATGTAATGAGGGCACAAACTAGGCATATGAAGTGATAAATGAGAAAATAGAAAATACCATAATTTTAATCAATCTTGTCTGATTTGTTTTTAATCTTTTTGATTGTTTGGTGAATAGAAACACAATATCACACATATAGAGGTTTATAATGAGATTAAAAACACCACATTGGAAATAAAGCTATGGGTTTTATTTATGTGCCTCTGATTAGTCCACTGACAGAGACATCTAGTTTGTAAAAGGTATGATTGGTTAGGGGGCGGGACTAGTAGTCAGAGGAACTGGAGGAGCAGGAAAACAAGGGAGACGTGCGACTGTATTTTGAGTGGCCAATAGCTACGAACCAAGACGAATATTAGAGGGTAGAGACCTTTATATACAGTCTATGTGTCTACAGTGTTAGCCTGACTCATTTAAGATAAGTGTGTTTTTGGCTAAGAGTCTGCTGTGGACATTACTGTGTATCTCTGAGCTGACCTTGGCCGGTAGGATAATTAGCATAGTATCTCACGGCTCGCTTGCCGTGTGTGTGTATGTGGACTTTGAGGCCCGGACAGAACTCACTGGTACCCTGCTCAGGGAGCGAAGGGACCATCCGCTCTACTGTAAACTGTCATTCAGCGCGCTCAAGCTGCAATCAGGCCTGCAACGGGGGTTGTTTATTTTAATGCCGGGTTTTATTTTTTTGGGCCCATTAGAGTAACTGAGTAGAGTGCTGTGGTTATCGATATATATGATTATTGTTTTATATGAAGTTATCTGAGGTATTTGCTGCTGAATGTTCATTAGCAGTTGAAATGTGAACAATATTGTTTGCTAAGGTACACTCAGATATTTGCAGCGGTTAGTGCAGAGAACTTTTAAGTTTCCATCAAGAGTTATAAAGGTACAGACTGACCTTGATCAGTTTTACAATATCTGGGGAACAAGTGGACGGTTGTATACTTTGATTGGTTAAGGTAATTGAGGGGACATCTCTCTTAACCCTAAAGGTCACTTTATTTAATAAAATTTTATTATTTTTAATTTTAAAAAAAAGTAAATAAATACTGCCTTGTCATAAGATTTACCTCTTTGTCATTGTTATAAATATACACATTTGAAGCAGAGGATTTTCAGTTTAAAAAGAGTTAAAAACTACACATCTGCACCATCTTTTGTAAAAATAGTTCTGTCAGAGTGTTCCTAAAGTAGTTAGTGGTTAAAAGTTGCAACTGACGCTATAGGGTGCAGATTACTGAAAAGAACCCAAGGTGCTGTAACTCATGCTAGATGATACTGAGAAAGCACTACATCAGCAATACCAGAATAGATAAAAAAACTAATTACAACTAAAGGTTCTGCATTTACATGTTTAGGGGAAAGAGAGAAAAAAAACAAGAAACACAGACTTTAATTTAAAAGAAATTAAGAAAGAAGGCCAGGTAAATGGAAAATTAAGGAAGAAGTGGACGGCAGGAAAGAAGACAAACAAAAAAGAAAGTACCAGTGCCTCAACCTTATATGCTACTAAAGTACATACACTTACTGAATGAATTTGTTATTTATATCCAGATTTGGGCATTAGTGGTTAGTTAAATGTGTCTTTAGCTGATTTTCGCTGAAATAAAACTCTTTCAAAAAGCATTTATGGTATCTAGTTAAACACGCAATGTACAGTAGTGGCCTTACACAGTGAGGTTATATGTTTCCAAAGTCAAAGGACACAGGTAGCTGCTGATTCCACTATTTGAGAAATTGTGTGTCAGGATGAAAGGGGGGTGAGGAGATTTTCTCATGTTAAAATTGAGTCCAGTCCAGAAGAAGAATCAAACAACTGTTTTAGAGAAGAGTTTGGAAAACTGAACATTTGACCTGAGTTAAAAAAAAAAAGGTCACAACAGTAAATACATTTCTTCTATTGTGTGAACATGGAAAGGTCTAATCAAACTGACCTCCAGACCAGACAAACTTTGCTATACTGTAAGAAGTGTAATACACTGGATCTCCTCTTCCAGCTCTGCACTTATATCCTGCTGTGTGTGTCTGTCCATGAACGATGTAGGAATCCTGTTCAGTCCCGTTGCTGCTGCCAGGTAGCAGCTCTTGGTCGTAGTAGTTGGCTGATAGTTTGGGAACAGCCTTAAACCAGAAGAACCTCCATCCTGCAGATGGATCTTTAACTCTGCAGCTCAGAGTTACTGAGGCTCCAGGACTCAGCCAGGATGGAGACACAGTGAGGACAGGCTGGGGCTCTGTTGGAGGGGGATTTTAAGAATAAAAACATGTTATGGTGGTGAATTACATGCACTGCTCGCATCCTACATATTTTCTCCATCTTTCTTCAAATATACAATACAAATATCAAGGTGCTTAATATATAGTAACCAAAATAGCAATTTTAATATCTTTTAGATTCAGCAAACTGATGACATGACTTACTGTAAGATAGTGTCAATGTGAAAGCATCACTCCAGTCTGTTGAAAACTTTCCACTTTTCATTCTGCCCAGACACCTGTACTCTCCAATGTGTGATGATGAAGCAGATCTGATGATGTATTGATTCTGTTTTTGAGGTTTGTATGAGCTCGTAGTTTTCCACTCATACTCCCACTCAGTGTCTCCTCCATCCTTGATCTCACATCTCAGAGTGATCGTCTCTCCTGAGTATATCTCAGGCCAGTTGGGTTGCAGAGTCACTACAGCCCTGTTTGTGACTGTTCAAAAAACAATAAATAATAAAATAACAAAAGCTTAAATGTTTTTAACCTTATTCGTAATTATTAATCATGTATGTACATTGTTTTCCTGCATTTTGTATTTTATTCTGTAATTCTAAATTGTCAGTTTTGTCAATACCGATTGCATCACTGTCCTCTGTGTAGTAAACTGGGTCTCCTCTTCCTCCTCTGCACCAGTAGAGTCGTCCCTGTGAGACACTGATTTGTCCATCTGAGATGAAGACAGCATCTTGTGTGTTCAGGGGTTCAGAGGTTTTCTCTCCTCTGTACCAGAAGTATTTCCAACCAGATGACGGGTTCACAGAGCAGCTCAGGGTCACACTGCCCCCTGCTGGAAAGTCTCTCCTGACAGCTCTCAGTTTGGCCTTTGGTCTCTGTGCTGTTTGATTTAGAACAAAGACATGATTAATGTAAAAAGATTATTAAAATGAGAAATATATAATCCAGCATTGTTGGTGGTGCAACAACTAATTGTTGATTGAAATCATTAGAAGATATTTTTATGTTTCACACTTATTAACGACTGAAGCTGTTGGCCACATTAACATAACAATGGTTAAAGTTCAAACACATCTTTAAAAATGAATGACCATTTAGACACAGCCTTCTCTTTGTGTCCAGTGTCTCTAAGATCATCACTCTGCTTCACTCTGGGAATGCTACATGTCTGCAGCTCATTCTGGCAAAATGTCCCTGAATGTTGAGACTTTAGTTTGAAAACTACTTACGTTCAGCTTTCAGTTAAAACAATCAGTTTTATTGGTTCTGATTCTTCGTCCTCATCAAATTTACACATGTAAGAGCTCCCGTCTGACAGTAGCTGAATGGTCATTTCAACTGTATTTGGTGATATTATTGATGACTGATGGTTTGTGTCCCTCTCAATAAGTGATCCGTTTTTATAGAAGACAGCGTTCTTCTCTTCTGTCTGAGTCCGATGTCTACAGCGCAGAGTCACTGATTCTCCTTCAGTGGATGCAGGATTTTCCAGGATCACATTCTTGTCTTAGTAACACATGTGGTTCTTTGTTTTACTAAGTCAGCTCAAATAAATGAACATATCAATAATATGAATAAATGTTGCAATGTATCAGTGATTTATGTTTCTCACATATTTTGAATTTAACAGTAAGTTGGAGACAGAAGAAAAGCTGCTGAAGTCACTCTCACTGGAATCAACAATAACAGCTTTAATAATTATGAATAAATAAAATCCCCCCTCCCATGAAAGAGGCTACACACTCAACAGCCCTGTATAATACATTACTGTTAATACATCACTTATAAACACTAAAAAGGGCTAATTTCTAAAATTTGTTCATTTTTCACAAAGAAAAAAAATGGGTTTGTTGGTAAATCCTTATGATCATTATGCAAATCTTTTAATGTGAACAGCTGAACCCAGCCCATCTTTCTTGTTCTGCTTTTAGTTGTCATAATTATGTGATAACAGTTCTACAGCTGCATAAACAGCATTAGTGGAGCTGGACAAACTTTAAGTTTTTTGAATCTTAAACTAGTTTTTACACTAAAATCCAAAGACATTTATACTTTATATTATCAACATGACTCATAAATCAGTGCTTTTATGTAACTTGGTCATCATAGTAAAACATTCATCACTTACCTGATACAGTTAGAGAGACTTTATTACTTTCCTTTGGCAAATATGTTGAGACCTTGAGACTTCCAAAGCACTGGTATTCACCACTGTGGCCTGTATCTAGTGGTTGTAATGTGTAGTTTTTATTTGTGTTGTAGTGGAGAAATTCTCGACCATCCTTGTTCATTCTGTAATACCAGTCAGTGTCTTTTCCTTCCCTCATGTCACATATGAAGGTCACAGACTCTCCAGTAAATAAAGGGGACCAGTTTGGCTCAATGGTTAGCAGAGAATCTAGAAACCAACGCAAGATTCATGGAGTGAAATGAGAAATACACTGACAGACAGAAAAAGGATGCGTTCAAGAGTGATGCGGATTCATCTCAAGTGAATACATGACAAGAAAGAAACTTGTTTAATTACCTTGAGCATGTCCACAGTAGAGGAGGATATTCAGCACTACAATAGAGTTTGAAACCTCATGAAACACATCAAACTGAAGATTCAAGAGTTAATAGATGAAATAAAGGAAGTCAGTGATACTCACAGAAAACCCCCAGCAAACAGAGCAAAGTGTGTCCCATACTCATATCCGGCACCGACTCTGTGACTCTGTTTCTGAGAAATCCTTCTAACTGTCTAAAGAAAAACCAGGAACAGAAGACACATTTCACTAAACCTATTCTTCTTCTGAGTTTAGAGTCTGTGTTTCCTTCCCCTTTACTAAAAACACACAACTAGACTGGGTTTGGCCACCGCATATTTTTGTCATATAAGACAAAGACTACTTTGTTGAATAATTTCGTCTCATAAACACATAAACCTGTAAGACTTTATGTTGTGTTTAGTTGTTTATTTAATACTTTATATGTCCACTGCTGTTAGAAACATAGTGAATGTTTTGTGGTGTGTGTGGTGTAGCCTGGCCAGAGTGGTTAGGAAGGTGGTAGGTAGGCAGACTCCAACATCATATGTTTGCAGAAGTGATTATTTTATTGACCATGGTCGGCAGTACATGGATAATTCAATCCAAAATAACAAAAGAAAAATAACACATCAAACTTATAGCAACACTAACACAAGGCACGTGTTCACAGCAGCACACCCTCACCTCCTTTTTTTTTTTTTTCCCCTGTTTATATAGGGTGGTCAATTCCCACCCAACTGCTTCAGCCCATCCCATTCTGATGCAGGTTGATACTCCACAACATCTATATCTAGAAATCTCTTAATATTTGGAACTTCGTTATCAGTTCACTCTGCTCCCACTGCCTAGAAAAACAGGTCAGGGTTATTCACACATTTATTCATAATAATCAAAAAACAACCAAAAGAAACATTCCTACAAAGAAAGAAAACCCTCTACTTGGTTTGGCCCAGTGATGTCATCCATGACCACCCGATTCCTATAAAACAGGAAATACTTACACCGGCCCCTCCGTAAAAAAAATATCCTGCATGGTGGAACTGAACAAAGGAACAAACAATTGTAAGTATTAACACAGGAAAACAACAATAACATAATAAAAAACACAAACAACCCGGAATAGTAAGTGGTGCACTTTTACACAAGCTATGGCAAATTACCAAAAAACATAAACATATATGTATAAACTAGAAAGTCATGGCCTGTATGGGACAAGTGGTGAGCAAACCCACTTCGTCACAGTGTGAGTCATGTGATCTTTGTATGCATGTACTGAACATCCTGTATGTGTCTCTAACACTCTCCATAGAGATATGAAATGTGGTCAAAACACATTTTATTTAGTGTTAGAAGCATATTGTCATTTAATCTGTCCAGCACATGACATCCTCTACCCTTAGACCGTCAATCCAGGATTATCAGGATAATGCTTTAAACCAGTAGGTTGGAGTGCATTTAATTGTGGCCAGAGAAAGCTCTGCATTTCAAATACAAGAATAACTGTCTAAAGGTCTTGACGTTTAAAAGCAACAACTAGTTCACAATGAATCGTTAGAGCCTGTTTGAAGCCATGAACAAACAGTGGCAGACATTTTCTGTTGGCTTTGCTTGCTTCTCATAAACTTCTTATGTTTGGTAGAATCATTAGCATTAGCAGCTAAATGTAGTGTTCTTCTGGATCACTGTAAAATCTCTTCCTCTTAAAACACAAACACAAATTTCTCTCTCTTGGTCAGTCGAATGTGATACATGACTGATGTGAGGATCAAACCTGTGACTTTTTTCACATTGAATTACTTAATATCACTTGTGGCGGACAAGCCTGGAATATAACCAGTTCTTAACTTGTTTATATTCTGGCAGATGTAGTTTGTAAACTGACATGGCAGAAAAAAATTATTGCTCGATATATTGATGAATAATGTCGGGAGGTCAGGTGATTTGTTAGACAGCAAAGAGACATTTATATATATATAAATATATTAAAAAATGATTCCTTCCAGAATAAATAAAGAGAGCTCAGATGAAATGACCTCAGGTGTCATTCTCACTTTCTCACCCAACTGGTAAAAGTTTATCTGAAAATGTATTCATTTTCAGCTTAAATCGCAAAGTTAAACTGCAGTACTGTAGAGAAAAGGATCCCATCCCCCCAACAAAGAAGATTTACATGTCCTCATGTTAAGGTGAAATCCTGATTTTAAGTTTGGTCATAACTTCACCCACAGGAAGTGACTGTGCTTGAGGAAGACAGAAATGGTCTCATGAACAGAAGTGAATGTGAAGAGAGCCAAAGCCCTGCCCCCTCTCCCAGCTAGCATCTTTTGCATTAGTTGCAGCTGTGACTCTTTGGGTTTTGTCTTAGAGGATACTGTTATTGTTTTATAGCATCAGGTGTTTTATATACAACCATCTCTGGTGGTGACGGTTAAAAGTGAAGGAAGGCAGTGGAGGACCAAATCTTGATTCAACCTAATCTGAAACGGAGGGAAGGAAGAAAAAAAAACTTCAAGACATTCAGTGGCAGAACATATTGCACTGCACGTGGAGACAAACATATTTTAAAACCTGCTTTTATACTGATGTAAGGACATGAATATTCCTCTTGTGATCTGTGCCTGGACTCCCCTGTTGCCTCTTTGTATTGTCCACCTCATGATATATGTATATGTCAGCATCACACTTAAAGTATCTTCATGATAACGTGACACAAGGTTTGTTTGTATTTGTTCAGGTTTTATCACATCTCTCTCTGAGATTTCTGCCTTCACCCTGATTCAATATAGATTAATTTAAATTAAATGAACAGAATTAGATGAACAGAATCCAACAACAACGTGTCTTTTCAGCAAATGTCTCAGTTACTGTGAATAATCCACATATCAATGAACAGTTTTTACTGGAAAAATGTTTTACCAAAAGAATAGTAACCAAAATCAAGTCTACTTCGTGGCTTTTGACAAGCTTGGGGGCCTTTCCGAAACTGCTTGCTACTCCCTCTCCCTACATACTTCCACTCTGTTTGAGCGTTTATGCGGAGGGTACGCCATATTGAGTGCCATCCTAAACCAATGAGGGCGCAGTAGTAGTGGGTTGTTAAACCTTCAAATGCCGAGTAAGCACCAATGCTGGCTTGTTGAAGGTGTGTAACACCCTTTGCTGCACGATGGGGGACCTTTCTTTCAATTTGCGTTCCGTGTGACTTCGCCGGTTAACATATGTTAACTACACTAACACCATTCGCAGGTTAACAACATAGCCCATATGATTTATATTGAAACGTTGTGTTTGTGAATGTAACATTTTTCATACAGGCTAAGTTAAAGTTATATAGGCTTTTCTTTACAATGAATATCAATCTTTTCATAAAAGAATATAATATTTATTTTTCGTAAATATATAAAGTCATGTTCTTAAAGAAATATTCGACATGAACAAACATTGAAATGAATGACAAATTCTTTCACTTTCGTTAATTTTCCTCAACATCAATCCTGAATCTTAATACCACTGTTGTTTATTTGATACTGTTTGATCTGTTGATTTTGATCAAGGAGAGAAGTCCAATGAAAATTAACAAAAGATTTAATTAAAAAAATTAGTGAATCAAAAGATAACATTATAGAACAAACAAAAACACTGCACTGAAGAAGCTTCTCTGTAAAGAGAACTTACACATTTTACTGCTGGAAAGAAAAGTTTATTCATACATAAAGTTATTTTTAATATTAATTAGTAAAAAAATATTAACCTACCTTTCAATATATTTTAAAAGCTAAGGAAAAGGTGTACATTACAAGGATATTTAGTTTGATAGCAGATCATTACATATAGGCCTACTAAAGTAATTGTTCACATCCATCCTCATCCAACTCTGAAAAAGATGCTGACTTTAAAGCTGCATTATCAGCTGGGTATTAAAGCTCAAATATACTTCAACAAACTGTTACCTGCTGCTGCTTTTCAGAACAGCTTACCTTTAAACTTTTCAACAAAAATGTTTAAAAAAATAACTGTAAAATAATAATAATAATGCAGTGCATAAATACTAAATGGGAATACACCTGAGCTGTCTTGTGCTTTGTGCTAAAAGAGAGTAATTTAATCCATATGACATCATTATTTTATATAATCTGTTAATTAAAAAAAAAATGAGACAAAAACAAATCAGTTTAAGCCATGTATGTGAAATGCAAATGTACTGTAAACAAATGTCACACACCACAATAACATTCACATATGAAACAGACAATGTTAAACTGTATAATGATAATGCATGTTAATCCAAACTCTGAGCTGCTGTGACTGAACTCAGGTTCCTATCGTCACCTCAGAGTGAACAGAGCTCTCTGTCAGAGGGTGGGTGTGCGGTTGGAGGTTTGAGGACCCAAACGCAGGTCACAAAAATAGTCAGGTACAGTTCAAAAGGTAAAAGCGAGCACACTTACAAGGAGTGGCTGAGTCCAGAGAATCCAAAATCATAAATAATTCAAACAAGCAAACAAAACAGACATCTGAAACAGGTACAGATCCAGAGAGCTGTTTCACAAAACCAAGTTGTGGATTAAGCCGGGATTTTCCAAATATACTGGCGGAAATTCGCCCTGACTCAGTTTCTCGAAAACATTAGTACTTACAGTCCCTTCCAAAAGTATTGGAACGGTAAAGCAAATTCCTTTTTTTTGTTGTTCACTGAAGACATTTGGGTTTAAGATCAAAAGATCAGAATTTCAGCTTTTATTTCCTGGTACTCACATCTAGATGTGTTAAACAACTCAGGACATATCACCGTTTGTATTAGACCACAGCATTCTTAGGTGAGCAAAAGTATTGGAACAAATAATCTTCAAGTAAATAACATTTAATATTTGGTGGCATAACTCTTGCTTGCAATAACTGCCTCAAGCCTGCGACCCATCGACATCACCAAACTGTTGCATTCTTCATTTGATGCTATTCCAGGCTTTTACCGCAGCTTCTTTCAGTTCTTGTTTGTTTCGGGGTTTTTCTCCCTTCAGTCTCCTCTTAAGGAGGTGAAATGCAGCTCTGTTGGGTTAAGGTCAGGTGATTGACTTGGCAGACAAAATGTTTCTGTCCACTTCTGAATTCATTCTGTTGCTACCATCATCAGTTACTTCATCAACAGATATTAATGAGCCTGTTCCAGAGGCAGCCATGCACGCCCAAGCCATGACATTACCTCCACCATGCTTCACAGATGAGCTTGTACGCATATTTTCTAGCTCTTTTTGTTATTTCTCAAGCTGCTCGTGTTCCTTTTCCTTAATGTTGCTGTTGCTTGAGATTGCCACATTTATCATCATTAGCATCCTTACACAGTCTGCACCTGGATCTTGTACTGAGTGCCTGTTCTTGTGCCGCCATGATTAGTGCTTCTGTGCTGTCCTTTAGTCGAGCCTTTTCCAGCCACTTCTTGTATGTGCCGGTGGTACATGCCGTGCAACATCTTGTCCTTTGAATTCCTTGTCCTCACCCTTGGGTTTCTGCTGCCTGAGGTATTCACTAAGCCCTTCATCTTTGTGGGCTATCTTCCTGATGTACTCTTGGCAGTGGTTTTGTCACTCACTAGCCCTCGGCCTCCCTCGCTCCACTTAGTGTACAGTCTCAGGGTGCTGGATTTGGGGTGAAACCCTCCATGCATTGTGATGAGCTTTCTTGTCTTGATGTCAGTAGCCTCTATCTCCTCTTTTGGCCAGTTTATTATACCTGATGACTGGCAGGGCGTATGTTTTTGATGGCTTGTATCTTGTTCTTCCCATTCAGCTGACTTTTCAGGACCTGCTTTACCCTTGTAAGTATTTGGCTGTGGTGGACTTCCTTGTTGCCTCCTCATGGTTTCTGTTTCCCTGTGGACCCCAAGGTATTTGTAGCTGTCCTGAACATCTGCAATATTACCTTCTTTCTAATATTATTTCTATTTCTTATGCCTTGATGTGCAATGTGTGCAACTGTAACACAAAAATTTCCCCTCGGGGATTAATGAAGTATTTCTGATTTCAGAATCAACCAGCTGGACAGCGTATCTCTCGGTTTGTCTGTGTTTTGGTTGTTTTGCCAGACTTGTCTGTTTTGTATACAGCGACAAGTAAAAGAGTAAAATACAACTATATACAGACATGGACAAAATTGTTGGTACCCTTCTGTTAAAGAAACACCCTGAAATAACATAATAAACTAAAATAATAATAAATAAAAAAATACTGAAAATGAAATTGTTTTTTAATTGTGGTTTAACAGAATCATTGTAAAAAAACAAACTTATGAAACTGGCCTGGACAAAAATGATGGTACCCCTAGAAAAGATTGGAAATAATTTGACCATAAGGACATGTTAAAAGAAAGATAATTATAGAAAAGCTTGTTAAAGGTAAAGGCTATAAGACCAGTTCCATGCAGCTTGGTGTTCCTGTGACTACAGTTGCACATATTGTTCAGAAGTTTAAGGTCCATGGACGTGGCCGCAAGAGGAAAATTCAGGACAAATCTAAGAGACGGATAATATGAATGGTAAGCAAAGAGCCCAAAACAACTTCCACTGACATTAGAGATGAACTCCAAGGTCAAGATACATCAGTGTCAGATCGCACCATCCGTCGCTGTTTGAGCCAAAGTGGACCGAGGAGGACACCACTGTTGAAAGCAAATCATAAAAAAGCGAGACTGAATGCATATTGACAAGCTAAAAAGCTTGTGGGAGAATGTCCTTTGGACAGATGAGACAAAACTGGCGCTGTTTGGCAAGTCACATCAGCTCTAAGTTCGCAGACGCAAAAATGAAGCATACAAAGAAAAGAACACTGAACCTACTGTGAAGCATGGAGGAGGCTCAGTTGTGTTTTGGGCTGCTTTGCATCTGGCACAGGGCGTCTTAAATCTGTACAGGGTTAATGAAATCTCAAGACTATCAAGTCATTCTGGAGCAAAATGTGCTGCCCAGTGTGAGGAATCTTGGTCTCAGTTACAGATCATGGGTCCTGCAACAGCTAAAACCACCCGAGAATGGCTAAGAGCAAAACATTGGACTATTATGAAGTGGCCCTCTATGAGCCCTGATCTAAATCCTACTGAACATCTGTGGAAGGAGCTGAAACATGCAGTTTGGAGAAGGTACCTTTCGTACCTGAAACAGCTGGAGCAGTTTGCTAATGAGGAGTGGGCCAAAATACCTGTTGACAAGTGCTGAAGCCTCATTAAGAGTTGATTGCAGTGCACAAAATATTAAGTTCAGGTTACCATCATTTTTGTCCAGGCTTGTTTCATTAGTTTGTTTTTTAAAATAATCCTGTTGAACCCTCAGTTCAAATTTCATCAGTTAATTTTCAGTTATTATTTTATCTATTAATACATTTTGTCAATTTCAACTTATTTCAGGCACCATTGTGGGTTTTTCTTTCTTTAAAGGAAGGGTACCAACAATTTTGTCCACGTCTGTATATAGTCCTCTGCCATCTAACCTATAGAATTACTACTTAATTGCAATAAAATATGTATAATAAGTATAAATACAAAAGCAAATTCAGCAGAAATCAACAGGAAAATTAAATCTAACATAACAGAATTGTAATTATTTCATATAATCCGATGATGATGCACTTCTCTTTATGGACCTGTAATTCAGAAAAAATATAAATGAAAAATAAATATTTGATACATTAACCCTATAACACCATCAGAACAATTAATGAAATTTTAAGTTACCTCAAATTAATTAAAACATTTACATTGACTGTAATTTCAAATGCATGCGGACCTAAAGTTATATGGTAAAGCTACTTCATTGTCACATACACGTAGCAATATTCATTCTCTGCATTTAACCCATCACTCCAGGGAGCGATGGGCAGCCGCTGTACACACAGGGACGCCTCTATTATTTGTACTTCTAATGTATTTAATGATGGCGATATGAAACAATTTTAGCAAAAATTGTGTTTAAATACAAATGACCCAGAAGCTAATGTTAATATTTGTACCTGCAGGTGTGTGTGGAATCACATTACAATAGTCAAGGCTCCTTGTGGGATGATTTCGTATTCCTGTTAAAACAATATGATAAAAAAAATTAAAACTGTCTTTTATAATACCCACAAGTATGTTAATACCAATGTGACCATTAGCAGGGGTACATACTTTTGGTATGTATTCTGGGATTTCTGTTTGAATTAACATTCAGTTTATTTTTGATGTTTCATATTTTGTGTACTCACTCCTCTTTCCAAGACCTTTGAGCTGAAACTCAGATACGACATGGCTGTATTCTGAATTCATGTCTGCAAGTCTGTCACCTGAAAATAGAAAGTTTTAACTGGCTTTAATTTTAATCACTCAATTAAAATCACATACTTGGGACTGCTCTGCATGAAGCACAATTTATACTGTACCACGCATATTCTTTCCAAAGCCACTGATTTTTTCATAGTCACAAACATGACCTACAGAAAAATCAGAAGTCAGATTAGTCAAATTTAGTTTACTGGCGTTAAATCTACTGCACAAAGAATACTGTTATTATTCAAAATATAATAACTGATATGTAGTAGTTTGTCAGCTGTAAAGGTAATTCAGGATTAGATGGAGGACTGACCATGGAGAAGAGAGGAGTATACTTGCTGCTCATTTTCATCTTGGTTTACCGTTTGGACGATAGCAGAGCTCTGATTGGTTCTCTGAGTCTGGATGAGCCTGAGACATGTACATGAGTAGAAAAATGTCAGGATTAGTAAACTTAAACAGTCTGTCGTGGTTTTCCTGCTTGTATGATTGTCTCCCTAATGATTTTCACCTGTGTCTTGTTATTCCACCTCTAGTCTGTGCTTGCGTCCCAGACCTTCCTCTGTGTTTTGATTTGCCTGATTCCCTGGACTTCCTTTGGACTGGACTGCTCACCTGTCTCTGACCCTGGCCTGCATCCACTTTCCATCAGTTTGTTCAACTTTTTGTTTAATTACTAATAAACATTATAAAACTGACCCTGCGAATGAAACTCACACATTCAAGCAGCACGTCTGTGAGGACCACTGAATACATAGATGTGATGGCACTGCTCAGTAGTGGCACTGACTGGGGAACCTAACATGTTTTTGAGGTGGGGGAGACCGAAGCACCCGAAGGAAACCCACGCAGACACGGGGAGAACATGCAAACTGCACACAGAAAGGCCGGGACAACCGGGTTTGAGAGAGGACTGTAGTGAGAGCACTGCGGTGTCAGGTGTGACTTTGCAGCAATGGCAAACTGATTACATGGCTCATGAGTCCAATAGGAGGGCCAGCATTAGTTACCATGGCTATGTACCCAGGTAAGAAGTGAACTGCCTTTAGGACTGAAAAAACAGGGTTAAACCAGAAGTTACCTTGCTCACCACAAATCCAGCTTGGAGTACAGGCCCCCAGATCCCTTGTTTCTGTGTCTGCGCTTGGCTCAATGTGACAGTTAATAAATCTTATGTTTAAGATGAGACAAGAGTGTTGACCAACCTGTGGCAACATGTATCTGTGAAAGACAGATTGGTCCTGTGAGACTGGATGAACCTGAAATAGGCAGTAAACAATGTACGTCAGTAGTGATATGTAAAAACTATTAAAAGTAAATAATTTATATTATGTTTAAGATGAGAGTGTTGCACCAACCTGTGACAACATGTATCTGTAAAAAGACAGTAATAATTCAGTTACATGATGTTTTGCAAACTGAGCCACTGATCCATGTCATGAAATCATAAATCCTCAGTATTTTTAATAAGCGGAGAGTAAATTATCTAAACTTAACGCTAAAAGGTCTCACCCTTGGACTTCTTGTACCAACACAGCAGCAGTGGCAGGGGAACAACCAGAAAGATGCCAATAACCAGCCCAACGATCAACAGCACAGGAAATGGAGAGCTGGACGCTGCAATAATAAAGAATATGTATGAAATGATTACACAAAAGGGGACCCCAATCAAGGGTCAGCATGACTGAAAGCAGAGAAAAATATATGCTTTTGGCATTATCAACAACACTGTGTGACTTTTGTGCTCTTTTCTGATTAATCCCAGTAAGGCAACATTGAGGAAGGTGTTTGTGTTTGTGAGGTCACTAAATGATGACTGACTTGCATGTGGTGTTACAGTGATTTAGACTGACTTGAGTCTGTAATTGCTGCCAAAGATGCTTCAACTAAGGACTGAGTTAAGGGTCTGAATACTTTTGACAATGTAATATTTCTGTTTATTTCTTTTTTAATACATTTGCAAACATTTCTAAAATCCTGGTTTGACTTTATCATCCTTGATTGTAGATTGAGGAGGGGACAATGAAAACATCTCCCAGCTGGAGGGCTTTAGAAATAAAGTATCTGAGGGTCTGAAAAGGTAGGCATCTGACTAAACTGTGAGGCATATGAGGGCGAGGACATGAACTTTCAGAACTTAACAAGTGCATTGGAGTAGAGCTCCAAATACATTGACAAGACACTGTTTTTAAGAGAACAGAAAATAGCTAGTTAACATGTCAATTTTGGTTTCTGAGGGGAATCTCTAATACAAAAAGAAATTAAATTCCTGCTCAACCTACCTTGTGTGAAATGAGGCTAAAAAGTAATACTGATTGGTTGAGACCACTGAGAGATATATGAGGGGGACATAATCTTTCAAAACTTGAAAAGCACACTCATAGTAAAGAACAAGAGCTGTTAACTGTTTGTGCACCAAGAAGCTGACAAACAACAGTCTTTATATTTATTTTTGATCAAAATTATTGCTAGGGACAATTCAGCAGTCGCTGGATATTGGTACAGGGACATGTTTTACCATAACTACTGAATTCTACTTCCTTCAACATAACAAAATGTGTGAAAGGGTCTGAATACTTTTGAATGCACTGTAAAGTAATACACATTTCACTGCTAATCATGTATTTACCTTGGACCTAATACACGTTATTAAATACCCTAATGTAGAACACCTTATTTTAGACAAACTAATAAGTTAAACTAAGCCTCTTCTAATGAATTACATTTCTTTCTCAGACTGTAACACAGCTTACAAATGCTGCAGAAACTGTTTTAATCACACTCACATTTTACTGACATCCAGCTCTCTGGTGATCGACTCAGCTGACCTGGTGTGAATATTTTCCTTCACATTTATAAAAGCCTTCATCTGACTTTGACACTGCAGGGAGAGTCAGCTCATTTCTGGTACAACTTTGGATGAGTTTTCCATTTTTGTAGAAATCCACAATAGAAAGAACGTTTTGTGTTTTAACTTGCAGCTCAGAGTAACAGAATCTCCCTCAGCCACAGGATGGACAGGGCTCACCAGGATCAAATCACTGTCTGTCAAAAAACATCAAAGAAAATGAGTTCAGCTGGTGCTGGTTAATTGACTTTAATGTGTCTTCCTAAATTATTCTTTCTTCCAGATATCTAAAAGTAAAACCAGCATAAAGAATATAGTGTTTGTTTGAATTTTGTTCATAGAGATTCCACTCAAACTAGGCATTTTATTTCAGTGGGTGGTAATGGCACTTTCAGCTTGCAGCCAACCTTCATTAGATAGGATTCAACTTCACTGTTCATGCAGAGGACAGGCAGAGTTGGGAGGATTACTTTAAAAATGTAATCTGGTACAATTACTAATTACTTGTTAAAAAATGTAATCAGTAACGTAATCCAAGTATCACAAAATAAAAATAATGTCATCTGATTACTTTTAGTTACTTTTGAAAACATCAATACCGAATAGGCAAATGAAGACAAGAGAATATCAATGATTGGTTGTCTGGGCTACGTTCAGACTGCAGGCCAATGTGACCCAGATCCGATTTTTTTGCCCATATGTGACCCAGGTCTGATCTTTTTATGACAGTGTGAACAGGCCAAGTCACATGGAAACTGATCTTTTCCAGTTTGGAATTGGGCCACTTCCATATGTGGTCTGAATCCGATACAGATCTTTTTAAATGCGACCCGAGTCTGGACCCTCAGGTCGGAATCGATGTGACTTTTTATTATTTGACATGGGCCACATTTAAACAGTAATGTGAATTGTCAAACAAAAAAAATCGGATCTGGGGGAAAAAAAACGGAATTGAGCATTAAGGCCTGCAGTCTGACCATAGCCATGTTTAAATGTTTTTATATGATATGCCTTGCACTACGTCATCACTCATCTCTCTTTGTACTCTCTTGGTTTTAGCTTAGTGCATTTAGTTAATTTCATCTTGGTGTGTTTTTTCTTTGACACTGAATTAGGTAATTCGCTTGTTTCAAGAGTGGTGCCCTGAGGTAGATATAACTTTAAGTTATATTCTATTATTAATTATTAAATAATAGTAATAATAGTAATTACTACATTATTTAATATAAATATAGATGTCATCTACACCCTAATCCCCAACAGCACCTAGCATTTTTAAGTATGCAGATTATAACGACGTATATGTAGTTGGTTATATGTACAGTAACATGAGCAAACAGTGTAGGGATTCAGTCTGTTTTCACCATTGACTGGAGTTATTTATGGCTAAAGTAGAGCAGTTGCCTTACCACGCTAAGATGTAGTTTGTTTCTTAAGTGTGAATTTACAACAACCTTGTTTAGTTCTGTTGAACAGAACCCCGAGCGTTTAACTACTTGGTGCAGTTCGTTTGGGCTGGTGTGAATGCCAGACTCAAATTCTGGTGAAGACCAAACAACCGCACCCTGGTCTGCCTTGAAGAGATGGTCACAGTGAATCAATATATTTGACCATCGCAACCCGAGAGAAATGACTCGTTTTGCTATCAGAATGTGATCCATTCGGTCGGTAACATTTTAAAGGGCTACACCAGCCGCACGTACTGTATACAGTTTTATCGCCATTTATGTTAGAGTCGCGCAAAACCGGAAGTTATTAGTTATACGGTTTGACATTTTTGTTAGAATAATGTTTAAGGTGTTTATTGAAAGTTACACTGAACTTTGGGGATGCAGTTTTCTTGCTCAGCTTTGTTGCTCTCAGGCTGCGCCCTTCACATTTTTGTAAAAACACCCACGTCATATTTTGCACACACACCCAGCCAGTCAAACATTGTTGCTAGGAGGCCGTATCAGAGGCTCAGACGAGGCTATAATTTAGAATAAATTGCATATCCGAATGAAGGAAAATGGGGCCTGCAACTGGGCCCAGGCCTGATAAGAAGAACAGATCTATGAACACAAGGGGTCTTTGCATGAGGACTGCAACTCTGAAGGGTGTGAAGGTCATCATGTAACGCAGCACACAGCACGCGAACTTGGAGTGCTGTTTTCCCAACTGTGTAATTGTTTTATGCATATACAATGATTTGCTAATATCAAGATTATTTCTTATTGATCAGTGTCACGTTTAAGTCTTATTTCTTTAAAAATGTTAAAGGTTGAATACACTACTGTTTTTATATTGAATATGTGTGGAAGAGGAGGTGGGTCTTAGCATATGTCCAACAAGAGGATGAACGAGACAGGATATATCAAACAATGTAATACAGAGTTGTAGGAGTTTGATGTATTTGTATTTGCACTTGTTTGAAATGAGTTGATTTGAACTTTACTGTAGTCATTATCTCACTGAAGATTATCATTACAACTGAAATCTGTGTGTCGTCTGCATAATTATGGTAACATATTTTGTTGTTTTTCATAATCGGAGCCAGAAGAAGCATGTAGATGTTAAACTAAGTCCAGAGTTATATAATGCAATAAAATTTAAATAATACAGATACAAAAATAATCTCATTAAAACTCACTCTGTACAGTGATGTTGACTGCGTTGCTGAACTGTCCTGTGTCAGACTCACACCAGACCACTCCATCAATGTACTGTGATTTATTGGCATTGCATGTGGATCCAGTCTTTATCCCCCAGGAAGAACAGTGTGTCAGGTGGCCAGATTTAGAAAAACTTCTCACTCTCCACTCAGCAGAGTTTCCTTCACAGCTCAGTGACACGGACTTTTCGATGAAGTGCTGCACTCTGTCAGGACTCACTGCGAGAGACGCTGCTGGATAAAAATCTGAAAAACAACACAATGAGGGGACAAACAAAGTATTATAAAGTAAATAGTAAAATTAAGATTAAAAAGAAATAAACTTTATTGTGGTTTATTTTGGACTTAATCGCTTTCATTGTTGAGGCTTAAACGGTTCTGGATCGTGCAACAGTGTAACACAGTGCACAATAAGGAGGAATCTGTAGTTAACAGAAGGTAGTAATGCAAAGATGCACGAATTGTGATACTGCTCTCTGGGTGTATAACTACCTCTACCCCCAAAAACAAGACAGTAAGAAGACAGCAAGCCAACATTAAAAAACTGTCAACACTGTCCTCTTTTTATGTCTTTTTATAATACAGACTACCCTTTACAAAGTTTTTAATTTTTGTGTTTCTCCTTAAATATTTGCATACTGTTCTGGGTAGTTCAGGGTTCCTACATGTCCTGGAAAACCTGAAAAATGAAAGAAAAAGTAAAATGTCCTAGAAAATAATTTTGCTGGCATGCAAACTCCTCGCTTTGAAACCAAAATTAGTCATCTACCTGATTTGTGTAGAACCTATGAGATTTTTTTGTTTAACTTTACATCTGGCTCTACCTAACCAATCGCCACTCCTAATGTCTAAACCTGACTGCCAATCAGAGGCAGAGTAAGGCAGGTTTTTTTTCTCCAAGTCTGCTACACTGCCGAGTCTGCTGAACACACTGCCAAAATGTTGAATTGCCTGTTGGAAACGACAGTCTCTTGTCGGAACGCACGCCTGAACGCAAGACATCAGTAAACTAGCTTACAATGTTAACTGTCCCGTCATATCCAATAATGTTCGATATTTTATAATTTAGCCCACTTTTATTAACCAACAGTGTTAGCTAAACAAAATTGTTCATTAATACCTGCGGCAGCAACGACAGTAGGCTGCATGGCATGTAAGCTATCATCAACAGGATAAAACATGTCAGCTTCGGTGTTATTTACACTGTGGACGATGGAAAGATTGAAAGCAATTGTTAAAAATGCTTTGAAAAATATCTTGTAAAAGAAATGTTAAATAACAAAAGAAAATGCTTTGAGAAAGGTTTATTATCACTTATTTAAATATTTAACTGATTTATACCACTGCTTGGTTTAATTTCCTATTGTGACACGATCTTTACAACATCAACTTTTTATATTTGCACACCTATAAAGTTGCCACAGTTATTTTTAAGACCAAGTTCGTTGTGAAGTGTGGTGCTATTCAGTTATGGGTGTTCAGACAGCAGTGTTCAGAAGATCAAAGATCAGTTTGTCATAATTTTGTTGCATGTAATAGTAATATAATAATGATGTATTGTAATAGTATGTATTGAATGTAGTGACGAAACATGCTCTGTAGATCAGTTGTGCGTTTGGGTTACAGTAGAAACATGGTGGCGCAACATGGTGACTTCCATGTATTCTCCTAAATATTACACACTGAACCTTTAAAACTTTTGGTTTCTAATTACAAATGTAAAGCTATGGCCTGAAGTTGTTGAGTCAAATGTTTAAACAAATGAAAAACAAATTATGTATCAGGATGAAAAGGAGGTCAGAAGATTCACTCATTCAGTCCAGTCCAGCAGAACTCAAATGACACAGTTGTGTTTTAGTGAACATTTTGTAAACCTGCACCTTTGACCTGATGCTGGTGTGAGGGAAAATTACATTTATTCCATTGTGTGAGTGCAGAAAAGTCAAAACAAACTGACCTCCAGACCAGACAAACTTTGGTTCACTGTAAGAAGTGTAATACACTGGATCTCCTCTTCCAGCTCTGCACTTATATCCTGCTGTGTGTGTCTGTCCATGAACGATGTAGGAATCCTGTTCAGTCCCGTTGCTGCTGCCAGGTAGCAGCTCTTGGTCGTAGGAGTAGTCTGATAGTTTGGGAACAGCCTTAAACCAGAAGAACCTCCATCCTGCAGATGGATCTTTAACTCTGCAGCTCAGAGTTACTGAGGCTCCAGGACTCAGCCAGGATGGAGACACAGTGAGGAAAGGCTGGGGCTCTGTTGGAGAGGGATTTTTACAAATAAAAACATGTAACAACCTTTAAATGAACTGTATAATATTCACTTTGAGAGAAATGTGATGTGACTCACTGTCTGATACTGTTAATTGACAGGATCACTCCAGTCTGTTGAAGTCTGCTGTGCACTTTTCATTCTGCCCTTACACCTGTAGTCTCCACTCAGGGCTGAGTAAGCAGATCTAATCCAGTGTTCATTTTGCTTTAAAGGTTTGTCTGAGCTGGATGTTTTCCACTCGTACTCCCACTCAGTGTCTCCTCCGTCCTTGATCTCACATCTCAGAGTGATCGTCTCTCCTGAGTATATTTCAGACCAGTTTGGTTGCAGAGTCACAACAGCCCTGTTTGTGACTGTTCATGATCATGAATTCATAGTGAGGATACAAAAATGACAACATGGTAAATCTACAGCAACATTTTTTTATCAATTAATAATTATGGATTCAAAACTGTTTTTAAATTATGTTTCAAAAACAAATCAACAAGTCAAACTCACTCATTTTATCGATGCTGACTGGATCACTGTACTTTGTGTAGTAAACTGGGTCTCCTCTTCCTCCTCTGCACCAGTAGAGTCCTCCCTGTGAGACACTGATTTGTCCATCTGAGATGAAGACAGCATCTTGTGTGTTCAGGGGTTCAGAGGTTTTTCTCCTCTGTACCAGAAGTATTTCCAACCAGATGACGGGTTCACAGAGCAGCTCAGGGTCACACTGCCCCCTGCTGGAAAGTCTCTCCTGTCAGAGCTCAGTTCAGCCTTTGGTTTCTGTGCTGTTTGATTTAGAACAGGGGTATTCAATTAGATTTCAAAGAGGTTTAGTTAGAGAAAATTTCCTGAAGCAAAGGTCCGGAACATCAAAACGACGAACTTGGGTTATCATTCAGTACTATAACCTATAGTTGTATCAACACATGTTTTTAGTCAACAACGGACTGTCAAATCAAATAATATTTCAGTCAGTTTTCACATCAAACTGGAGGGATAATAAATAATAACTATTCAAATAATAAATTCTAAATTTAAGTAAACTAAAGTGCCTAATTTTTAGAAAAAAAAATGTAATAAAAAGTGTAGCTTGAAGTGATGAAGTGTAGTCTTAACCAATTTTATAATAAACACTCAACACATCATAACAAATGAACAGCTGTAATGCCTCCTCTTCTCTTTCATTTCCTCTTACAGAGCTACCACTTTCCTACTTTCTGTTGTTCAGTGAGAAACGTGAGCTCCAGCTAGCATATTGCAGATCTATGAGATATTCTGGTTTTGAACTGCTCGTGGGAGGAATGTACATGTAAAAATCTGTACATTCTTGATTAAAAGTCATGTGAAATCTCTTTTATCTTTCGTCTCCTCAATTCGGGTGTGTTTCGAAAACGTCTCTGGTGAATCTCGCGGACTCGACTCGCAAGCCTCGGTATGCACAGATTTGATTGGTTGAGCAGCGTCACATGAGACGATTGGAGCACATGCGATTGGTCTGTGAGTTTTCTGGTCCTCTAAACCAGTACAGTAAATGCTAGAAACGCTGCGCGGGTTAAAATAGAAACGCTCCGTCACGAGGTAGTAGTCTCAATAATAAATGGGCTGTAGGTCGGCGGTCCGGAGAGGACGGCGGCTGGGTCCGGATCCGGACCGCGGTCTGCCTATTAGTGACCTCTGATTTAGAACAAAGACATCGGTTTGGAAGATTACTTTTTAGTCCAGTACAATGTAATCAGTAATGTAATCCAAGTACCACAATATAAAAATAATGTAACCTGTTTACTTTTAGCGGAGGTGGAAAGTAACGAATTACATTTACTCACATTACTGTAATTGAGTTTGTAGTTTTTTTATGTACTTAAGTCGTTTTTATAATCTGTAATTGTACTTTTAGTATTTTGTCTTAAGTATTGTACTTCGTTACCTTTTAAATCACAGTCCTTACTGAGAAAAAACAATTCACGTTTGCGGGTGGCTCAAAGACAAGACTGACTGTGACTCAGCTTGCTGCGGAGAGTCCCCAGCTGCAGAAGCACCGGGGCCCACCTGTGGCGCTGAACCCAACGGCCGGCGCAGCGCAAATCGCTTCATATCTGAAAGGGCCATCTCATATAGGGCGCAAAATGTACATACTGCTCCGCCAGAGGTTTTTCACTCAGCGCGAATGAACTCCGGCCAGCTGATGCAACACCGGCGATTTTAACTTCGCGCATTGAGTCCAGACAGTAACGTAATTGTTAGGCAACAGTTTTGCAATATAAACATCATAAAACGACAGCCTTTTTTTCATCAATGTAACTTTAACTTAAGTCCATTATTTTAGTACTCTTTCCACCTCTGACTTTTAGTTACTTTTGGATTACTTCATTGCCAATTACACAAATAAAAACAACTTGAGCTCACATCTGACAGTGGACGTCTCACCACTGAAGATCTGAGTCCAGTTGGGTTGAAGAGTCACAACGGCCCTGTTGGGAACTGTTAACACAAAAAATACCCAGTTAGGATACAAATAAAAATGTACAATTAAAAAAAACTGTCAACTGGCAACAATTTGACAATTGTATGAAAGTTAAACAAACATGACTTAATAGCCATGAAAACAAAAACAGTTCATAAACAAAATAAACTAGACTCCATGGCTTCGAAAAGTGTTTTGGTTCAATTCTTGTTTAAATGTAGCAAACCTACACTTTGTTAATAAAATCATGAATAGTAATACTTTTTAATAATTTTAATATAATGAGCACTCATTCAAGGGGCACCACCTAAAATTGCTGTCCGCCCAAGGTTTTATTAATCCTTGGGTACAGCTTAATAATTACAACAATTAGTTACTAGTCATCAGTTAGTTATTAATTGTTCAATCAGTTTTCATCAGTTAGTTTAATCCAGTGTTTCTCAACGGGGCGGTTGCGCAATATTTTGGAAGGGGTGATGCTGAGCTGCTTTTTTGACTTCTATACTTTGCAAATACAATAGTCTATGTGACCCATACCAACTGTAAAATTGAACACATGATGGTACTTTAGACTGCTGTGGCGCAGGCAGCATAGCCGCGGCAGCGTATATGTATGTTGGAGAGAGAGGCACATAAAGAGAACTCTTCAATATAATATGTTAATACGGAAAACTATTGTATATATATATAATTATTTTAGGAACTTTAAAATAAGAAATTAGGTATTTACTGTATCTAATATTATCTGTTGTTAAATTGTGCACAGTGAAGACACACAGTGTGCCATTATAGACCTGAGCATAATGTTTGTGTGTGTGTGTGTATGTGTGCTTCGTAATTAAAAAGGAAACTGCGACATCTGGTTCACATCATGCGTTTAGATCATTAAAATAGGGCCGTTTGTCTTTTTAAATAACCCATCTGTTAATAATTTGCTGTATAAATTACATTTAAAACTAAAATATTTGATAATTTTGAGTTGCTTTTAAATTGTACTAGACATTATAAATCTTAGTGGAAGAGGTTAATTTAAATTTGTGATAAACAATTTTCATTCATGTTATCCATACATGTGATGCAGAGAAGACGTATTGAGTACTATAGTATGAACAGTCTGTTGGTAATGGCATACTTATTAATTGTTAATTTAGTTTGCAATATGATATAATACCGATTTAGTATACTGTATGCTGTAGTTAGTAAAGACGTTAAACACACTCCAACATACTTATAACAGAAAATGGCTGGAAGTAAATGAAATGACTCTAATGTTGCTAAATGGTAATGAATTATACAAATATGACCAAAGTTGTGCACAGTAGGTGGAGAATTATCTTGATTGAATAAACACAAAAACAGGAAAGAAAGAAAAATGTTAAATCACCTTGAGCGTGTCCACAGCAGAGGAGTGTATTCAGCACTATAATGAAGATCGATAGTATCATCAGACATTATCAAAATGGCACAAATATCAAATAGTTAATAAATAAAGGCATTTAAAACAGCTGGAGTTTCACCAACAGCAGTTTGCAGCAAGTGGACAAACATCAGATATATATCTGAACCAGTTGCTGATGTACTCACAGAATAATGGCAGCATCAAAGTGTGCTCCATCCTCACATCCAGCACTGAAAGTCTGCCGCTCTGCTACTGAGGAAAAGAGAGACTGAAACTGCAGCTGGAAGACAAAAAGAGAACTGTGAAGAAAATAAGTTACATTTCATATAAATACAGTGTGAGATCAGAGGTTTTCTACAACGTCTTTATCTAAGTTTAGCCCATTTCTTCACTTGGTTTGACCACATCTTTGGATGTTTACACTTCCTGTCTAGCCTCTGCAGATAGCATGCAGAGAAGACATTGCATGATTTCTGCATATTTCAATTAAGAGAGAGAGACTTCATTTGAGTGAATAATAAGGATTTATTTACTTTTGCACAATGAAAATGAAAAATGTGAAAAAGGCAAAAAGGTCTTTGGCAACTCGACCCCATCATGAGACATGTTATCTAAAGGGGGTAAAGAAGCAGATAGGCCCAGACCTGGAACTTTTTGATGATAACAAAAAATACTTTATGGTGAACTAGCCCAAAATCTAACCAGTTCTTAACTGGTTCATGGTTTTTACAGTGTATTTTTCCTGCAGGTAATAATCTCAGATTAATGTGCTGACGAAACTCAAACAATACAGACATTCACTGAGATCAAAATAGAACACAAGTAACTCTAAAGAAAGTTGAAACGTGTTGCTGACAAGATTTTATCAGAAAATACACCTGTGTCAT